CCAGCCTCAGACCAAACATATGTCACTAACTAGCTGTGTGACCCTGGGCAAGTCACTTAACCCCAATTGCCTTAAAAAAAGAAAAAAGAAAAAAAAGAGATAAATAAAATGAGCTGGAGGACATAGCCAATCACTCTAGTATTTTTGCAGAAAGGAAGGAAGGAAGGAAGAAAAGAATGGAAAAAAAAGAAAAAAAACCAAATGGGGTCATGAAGAGTTGGACATAACTGAAAAACAAATGAACAACAATAAATTACAATAATGATATATGCATCACTTATCTCACAGGTCTATGTGAAGAAAGTCCTTTAAAATTTCAAAGTGCTATGGAAATATTTTTCCTTTAAAAATCTTCCTATCCTGTTTTTCCTATATCTGTTATTATCATCATTCTCTAATACTCCAGGATTGAAAAGAGGTTCACAGATTTTGAGTGGCAAGGGATATTAGAAGTAATCTGGTTCAACCCCTTCATTTCATATAAGAAAACCGAGGCCCAGAAATGTCTGACAACTTGCCCACAGTCACAACAATATTAAGTGAAAGGGTTCAAGATCTGAACACAGAGCCCTATGACTCCAAATTCAATATTCTTTCCTCTGCACCTTATATCCATCACCTCTGACTGCTTTTTTTACTTCACATCCCACATCCAAGCAATCCCCAGGACTTATTGATTCTTCCTTCCAAATGCAGCTCACATCTGTCCCTTCTTTTCCATCCCCACTGTTGACCTGTTACTTCAGGGTCTCCTTCAAGACCCTGATGTTGGGAAAGATTGAAGGCAAAAGGAAAAGGGGAATGGCAGAGGATGAGATGGATAGATAGCATCATGGAAGCGATGAACATCAGGTTGGACAAACTTCAAGGGACAGTGGAGGACAGAAGGGCCTGGCATGCTATAGTCCATGAAGTCATGAAGAGTCAGACACGGATGAACCACTGAACAACAGCAATAATATCTCTGACCTGAACTTTCAAAGTAGTTTCCTAACCAGCCTCCCCACCTACAGTCTTTCAATTTATTCTATACATCATTGCCAGAATAATTTTGCTACAGCACAGATCCAGTCATGCCATTCTCCTCCATTGCCAACCAAATAAAGGCCATCTTCCCGCCAAACTATCTTTCAGTCTTATCTCACACTAGTTTCCTTCATGCTCCAACCAAATCTACTTGTGATTTCCCAAATGTGCTTTGTGTTTTCCCATAATCATGGATGGGCGTGAAATTCCTTTCTTCCCACTTTTGCTATCAAAATCCTACCCATCCTTCAAAGCCCAACTCAAAGGCCACCTCTTTCACAAAACCTCTTGATCATTCCATTGGAATAATTTCTATATAGGGATGTTTTAAGTGTTTTAAGATTTTAAGTGTTGGAACTTGAATGGCTATAAATATGAAGGATTGGTTTTTTTTTAAACAGCACCTGACAGAACTATTTCTTCTCCCTTTTTCTGACTTCTGAGTCACTGCTAACCCACTGTAGAAACCTGTAAATGAATGTGTACAACCATGAAAAATGATGTATAGATATTAATTAAAGAGTGTGGAATGAGTAGAGAAGTGAAATCAGGACTATTTGTCCTTTTTTAACAAGAGGTCTTCCATGCCTAAAACCTAATAATTAATAGTAATAATAATAGCTAGCTTTTACATAGTGCTTTCAGATTTGCAAAGCACTTTACATGTTATCTCAATTGCTCCTCACAACAGCTTTATGAAATAGGTGCTATGATTATCCCCATTTTGTTGTTGTTATTCAGTTATTTCCATCATGTCTGACCCTCCATGACCCCATTTGGGGTTGTCTTGGCAAAGATGTCAGAGTGGTTTGCCATTTCCTTCTCCAGGGGATCCATTTTGTCAGGAACTCAGAGGTTAAATGACTTGCCCACAGTCACACAGCTAAGAGGTGTCTGAAGCTAGATTTGAACTCAGGTCTTCCTGACTCCAGTCCCAGTTATCCCCATTTCACAGATAAAGAAACAAGTTAAGAGGTTAAGTGACTTGCCCACAGTCACACAGGTACTAAGTATCTAACACAGAATGTGAACTCAAGTCTTTCTGACTCCAAGTCCATTCTTCTATCCATTGTGCCTACCTAGCTCATGTTCCTATAGATTTCTTTTTAAAGATTTATGAAATTTTTCCTCAAATCAATCCTACATCCATAAGTATTATCATCCTCATTTGACAGACAAGGAAACTTAGACAATATGGTATATGATGTCATAAATTCCACTGTCTAAATTTCCTTACTTGTCAAAAGGAAATGATAACACTGTGGGATTGGATTTGGGATTAGGACACGTGGATCATATCCTTGTATCCTGTCTCTGAAGTCTACTAGCTATCTGGTCATAAGCAAGTTATTTCACTTATCTGAAACTCATATATAAAGTAGGTATGAAAACATTTCCTCATATATAAAATGGGTATGAAAATATTTATAATAACCTACCTTATAGATCAGTTGTGAGGCAAGCATCTTGTAAACCTTAAAATGTTACACATAAGTGTGAGTTGTAATTTTTATTATTCGGCTCAAAGAGATTAAGTAATTTACCAATGGTCACATTGCAGAATCAGGTCACAAATTCATATTTTTTCCATCCTAAGCCCAATTACTCTTTCTGCCCACAATGGCATGTGTTTCAGGTCTTGGGGAAGACCAGTGGGGAGCTATCTTTGAGCAGAAAAGGTATTCTGCGTTCCTCAAAGCATACCAGGAAGCAACATCCTATTTTGCCTATGCCTAAAACCTGTCTAGCCATCAACCAAATATTATAAATAGCATAGAGGGTGGGGGTGGGAATCCAGTATGCCAGAAGAATGAAGAAACCATAGCAAAATTTTCTGTAGCACTATCTTCTTAAATGTTCACACCCTGAGGTAGAGGATCACACTTTTTGCTTTTGTTTTCTTCTGGTTGTACTGGAAGGTCAGTTGACAGTTCCACCAGAATCATGACTTGGACAAGATAACTGGAGCTTTGCCTAAGGGACTGAATTTTATTGAGGGCCAAATATAGAGGGTGCAGACAACACTTTCTGTCCATTAGTAGTACAACAGAATATAACATCTGATTAGCAGGAATAATTAGGTAAATGAATAATCTATCAGATGACAAGCCGGAGTAACCCTGACTTGGGGTGCTTGGGCACCCCACCATGATGTAGCAGTCTCCTCAGCAGCGGCATGGCTTCATAATGGTGTCATAGGGTCTCTGTCTACCCCCTACAAGGCAATGATCTCTTCTCCCCTCCCCCTAAACCAAAGGTGAACTTTGTATCACTTGTCCAGGGCCTGATTTGTGTCATTTGAATTGGGTGCAAAAATTCCTGAATAAGCCTCTGATCCCAGCTAAACAGGATCCTATTCAACTGGAAATCAAAAAGGGAAAAATAGCCAATCAACAGCTTGTTAAATACCATACCCAAAATTTATTTTAAGAAGGTCAAAAAACAGCTTTAAACCTATCTCATTGCCCTATGCAACTCTCAAAGATGAACTACAGAGAGACAGAACTCATTATTTCCCTTCTCATGGTACCTGGAGGGTAATTTCTAAAGGCACTGAAGATGTATCATAAATAATTCAGGAAGTCCAAATTGAATTTTCAGGAAACTTGATTCCTTAATACAAATGTTCCTTCCACACTACAATGGAAAACTGGAGTTTTTAACTGGCCCACCCCTATCCCCAGTGACCTCCAGCTCTCAGGGAACCCATTTCAAACAGAACAGGACTGCCTAGGACTACTCAAAGTTTCTAGTCAGCGGTTCTCATATAATTAATTAGCTGCTCTGCAATCAACTGAATTTATTTTGAAGGCTCTTGCTAGGAAATCAGGATTAACACAAGTGGGCAGGAGTGTATGTCCACTTAATTTACACCTCAAACGGCCCAAGGTCAGAGAACTGTAGCATAATTTGAAAGAGCTTTACTTTCCAATGTTTTGAACTTGGGTTTGCTTTTTTGCTTTTTAGTTTTTTGTTGTCATAAGGTTGTTTTAGTAGTTCCTACTGCTTGTAGCTGCTTCCTTCTGTTATACTTTAACCCTTTAGGGAGCCATGATTTACTCTCTATAGTTATTTCCTCTAACCATGTAGATTCTTGTGAACCCTCTACACTCGGGTAATAAATAATAATAGTTAACATTTATATAGCATCTACTCTGTGCCAGGCACTGTGCTAAGTGCTTTACAAATACTATTTCATTTGATCCCTACAATATCCCTGGGAGGTAGGTGCTATTATTATTATCCTCATTTTGCAGATGAGAAAACTGAGGCAAAGAAAAGTTAAGTGACTTGCCCAGGATCCTAGAACTAGTACGTGTCTGAGGCTGGATTTGAACTCAGGTCTTCCTGATTGGTAACTCTCCACTTTCCATCAGCAGTTCTGCTTGGTTTGGACTCCTTAGGACATCATGCCCCTCCCAGGATAAGCTGATCACCTGAAATCTCAGAGACTGACTGACCTAACTGAGTTTTATATACTTAACATCTTCTCAAATTCAGTGGTCTCTCCCCTTTGATTGGAGGGCTGGAGAGTGAAACACTGAAGTCATCCAAAAGCCTTTCTTCA